TTTCATGTAATAACTGTAAAAAGACCTTTTCTCAACTCATAGATCTTAACCGCCATCAACAGTTACATACCGGAGAGAAACTTTACATATGTAGTCATTGTAAAAAGACCTTTGTCCGTTTCTCAGATCTAACTCGACACCAAAGAACTCATACCGGTGAGAGACCCTACCGATGTAATGTTTGTGAAAAGGCCTTTGCACATCACTCAAACCTTATTAAACATCGAAAACTTCATTCTGAAGAGAGGCCCTTTAAATGCAATGAGTGTGAAAAGGCCTTTCGCTATTGCTCAGACCTTAAACGACACACAAAAATTCATACTCAAGAGAAACCCTATAAATGTAGTGAATGCCAAAAGGTTTTTAACAATAATTCAAATCTTAATAAACACAAGAAAATCCACACTGGAGAGAAACCTTTTGTATGTAATCAATGTGGAAAAGCTTTTAGCCTCAAATCAAAACTTTCTCGACATCAGAAAACTCATGATAAAAAGATACCCTAAAAATATACAGAAGATGCAAAAAGGTATTTATAAATCACTTTCCTTTTTACCAGAAATTGTACATTTAAACCAAAGATCAACATGCAAAGGTTTTTTTGTCAAAGCCCAATTCTTCTGCATGAATTCATCCTGGATAGAATGTTTTATAAATACAAATAAATATATGTTGAAAGAACAGGGAGATATGATCAGAAATGTACTTTATGTATTCCATTGACTTGATTCTTTGAGCAAAGAATGGCTAAACATGTTCAACCAAAACTTGAAATTGGATAAGAGAGTTCCTATGGTGAGAAGCAGGTTAAGTGGTAGCTGGAAGGGTGTAGTGAAAAGAACATACTCATTTTGCTGTCTGTTCATCATCTTATTTTCACTGGATGAATACATCCTATTTTTAATAGAGGTGGCTCTCCAAAGTTGTAAACTTATGTAGGAAGTGGATGCAACCCTTATCTAAGCGTAATTAAGGACAACAAAAGCCATCTCTTTGGAATTAGAACTACTAGAGAGAAGCAGAAACTTTGCCCATGGATAACGAAAAACAAAATGATCATGATTCAGAAAACAAGGATAAAGAGGGTCAAGACGAGAAATTTAAAAGTCACGGGTTGGTGGGTGATAAGATAGTTTCTACTCCCTTTTCTAAATGGATAAAATTCTGAGACACTCAGCCTCCCTGAGCAGTTAGCACCATTCTTAGATCTATCTAGAGAACCATGTGGAAACGGAGAAATTGCAACAACTCTAGGACTTAGATGCAGGACATGGAGAATCGATTGCTCATAGTGTTGTCTTGTTTGAAATAAGTTGATATCCTGTATGTTTTAATAAATAAATGCTAAGTTTTCTAATATACACCAACACTGGTGTGTAATATTGACTACATTCAGGCCTTGTATCAGAAATCCAATTACACTTTCCCGAATCTGTTCCCATAGTCATTGGTGGCAACTTAGCCCTGTTCAGCCAAGTGGGATGGGCAGTCTAACAATGGCCTCAAGCCATAGAAAGTGATAGGAGGATGATATTCGGTTTCTTCTTTGGGGGTCATTCTCTTATCTTTCTGCTTCCCTAGATAGTATACTGGCTGCTGCAGAGCTAAATTGTTGTATAATCCCTAGATGTGGCTCCTCGTCTAATTTCCTTAGGTGTTTTTATCTCTAAGAAAAGTTGTATATATGGCTCACTTTTTGCAAATAACAGACACATTATAGTTTTATAGGTTTCAAGTTATATATAAACTAAAAATGCAACTAAGTTTAAAAATGAGTACAAAAGAAATGTTATCAATGCAACTATGGAAATCATTATTGGGATAAAAAAAATTGTGCCCTGGGCCCCTTATCCCTAATTTTGGTCCTTAAAATACCGAGCTAGGGTAAAATTTAAAAGGAACTATTTTATGTTTTAAATGTATTAAGAATGTCCAACATGGTTCCTATCAGAGTCAAACTGCTAATTCTAAAGTCTATATTATAAGGAACAGAGAAAGGACAGTTGATAGGACAGGCTAGAAGAGCTTGTTCTGAACAGTCTAGTATTCCAAAGGTGCCATCAGCAGCCTCTATAGAAGCTTACATCCCAGTACAAATTCCTAACATATATTCTTTTCCTTTCTGTATCTGTTGGCCATGTCCTACCAGTAATTCTAAGCCATTAAGTCTCCAATCACCTGAAAAAGGGTAAATGGATAGACATTATGCAAAAGTTAGGCTATTCAAGACATCCTCATTGAAAAATTGAACTTTTTTCTTTCCTGATGGATTTTAATATTAAAATCACATAATTACATTAAAAAACCCCAAATACACAGTTGCTATTGACTGAGCAATGTTCCCCAGAATTCCCTTCCCTTCCCTGTATGTTTCCATTGAGGGCAAGCCACAAAGGGCATGTTTTGTGAAATCTGGAGGGTGGAGGTGGAGAAGCAGTTGTCGTGGTCCATTCCGGCTGCTACAACAAAACTCCCCAGACTGGGTAGCTTATAAACCACAGAAATTCCTTCCCAGTTCTGGAGGTTGGGAAGTCCAAGATCAAGGCAATAGCATGGTCACGTTCTAGTGAAGGCCCACTTCCTGGTTAGAGCTGGCACCTTCCCACTGTGTCCTTACCTGGCTAAAGGGGTGATGGATCTTTGTGGGGTTTCTTTTATAAGAACGCTAACCCCAAATCACTTCCTAAATGCCCCAGTTCCTAATACCATCACCCTTGGGGGTTAGGATTCAACATATATATCTGGGGTGGGGGTGGGAGGATCACATGCAGACCAGACCAGCTGTAATTTTGTTGATGCTCTGAAAAGTTTATCTGCTGGCTCTCCTTGTTGGCATGACACAGTAGACAGGCCTGCAGCTGCTCTCCTTCCGTTCCTTCTCCCTGAGGTACCATGCTGTTTCTCTCTTTAGTAACGCCTTGAAACAGTTGTTTGTATTCAACAGTTGTTTGTATTCACTGTTTCCAGTGTGTCTCCTCTATAGTTCTGGAAACCACTCCATTTTGACTGTGATTATCTGTGATAGCCACTACGATGGGCCCAGCAGTCACCACTTCCTTGTATGTATACCCTTGTGTGGTCCCCTCCCACTGAGTAGCAGGGTTGGTCTGTGTACCAGAGCTATAGGGGATTGTGATAGCTAGGTTACAAGGTAAACGGTGGCTTCCGCCTTGCTTTCTCTTGGCTCACTCACTCTGGCTGCCATACTGTGAGGACACTAAAGAAGCCCAAGGAGAGGTCCGTGTGATGGGGAGCTGAGGCCTCCTGCTGACGGCCATGTGAGAGCCATTGTGAAAGTGGGTCCTTCAAGCCTAAGTCTTTAAATGAGTGCAGCCTTGATCAACAACTTGATTACAAACTTAAGAAAAATCCGGAGCCGGAACCACCCTAGGGAAGTCATTTCCAGATTCCTGAACCACAGAAACTGAAGGAGCTAATAAATGTTTATTGAAGTCTTTCAGTTGCAAAGTTTGGGGGTGATTTGTTACACAGCAAGAGATAACAAATACATTACCCTGTGTTATGGGTTGACTTGTGTCTCCCAAAAATTGATGTTCAAGTCCTAACCCCCAGTACCACAGGATGTGACCTTATTTGGAAACAGATTGTTGCAGGTGTAATTAATTAAGATGAGGTCATACTGGAGTAGAGTGAGCCCCTAAACCAATAGGACTAGTATCTTTATACAAGTAAAATGGAGAATTTGGACACACATGCACACAATGAGAACGCCATGTGAAGACTGAAGTTATGCTGCCACAAACCATGAACTACCAGTAGAGGAGAGGGTTGGCACAGATTCTTTCCCAGCCCCTTCAGCCGGGAGTACAGCCCTGCTGACAGCTTGTTCTCAGACTTCTAGCCTCCAGAACTGTAATGCAACAAATTTCTGTTGTTCTGAACCATCCAGCTTGTGACGCTTTGTTACAGCAGCCCCAGAAAACGAATACGCCTTGTATGTAATGTCTTTTTTCTTTGGCAACTTTTAAGATTTTCTCATATTGAACTGGTTTTGATTTTTATGTGTCTTGAAATTTGACTTGGATGTGTCTTGTGGTTTTGTTTCTAATCCTGCTTGGGGGTTCACTGAATTTCTTGGATTTACATTTTTTCATCAGATTTGAAAAAATATTCTTCCCAGCATGCAGCTTTTCCATCTGTATATTAAATAAAAATGGTAAAGAAAAACAATATAATAAAGGACAGAATCCTGTTTTGCCACAGAATTCAAAACAAGTGGGCACAGATGGACAGATAGTATAGACCTTCAGCAAACAAAAGTACCGGAAAGATACAAAGCAATCCACCAGTTTCATTAAAAAAAAAACAATGAATTTTACAAGAACAAGTAAAATATTAAAACAGAGGGATAAATGTAGACAAATTTGGCACAAAAATTGGTTCTTTAAACTCCATCAGTAAAGAATACAGTTTTCAAGTGAAAAATAGTAAAATCCCATTCATAATAGCAACCAAACCCTTGAAGGGAGTGTCACAGGAAAAGAGCAAGACTGGTGGTACACACGCACACAAATATATACATTCATACATATGTATATGTTCACATATATATAGTGTACACACTCACGCTAATTTTATCAATTAGATAAACCCACTTCATTTTCCCTGGGGTGGGATGCATAATGTGGCAGAGAGGCCAGAAATGGGTTTAGGGAAAAGTCCCACTCCTGGAAATCAGGATTTGAAGGGAAACATTTCCTACGAACTTAATGGCAATCCTGCCTTACTACATATATAAATATAATGTACTTCTAATTGGCATTTTTTTCTCTCAGAATTTAGTAAGTGAGCCTAAAGAACACTTTATAAACATGTTTATTAGAAAATTCAAGAAAAATTCAAAGCCTGGTAGTTGACATAATCAAACCACTGATAGAACAGGGGTGAGTGGATATCAGGAATGACTAACATCAGGGTTCAGAAACACTTCCTAGAGTCAAACATTATCAGAATTCTCTTCACTGCTCAAATATGCTTACCTCTGCATTTCCCCTGCTACTGCAATTGCTGTTTTCTTAACGTGGCTGCTGGAAGCTTCAGGGACACACATTAGCTAACTTTTGTCTCTCTCCCATGAGAAAGGTCTTAGGAAGTGCTTACATTAGCTCAGCATCTAATGCCCATCTGTGGTATAGCCACTGTGAAAAAGAGGATGGAGTACCGTGGTTAGTCCTCTTAATGCCACCTCTGCAGACAAAGGGATTGGAGTCTGGTACTAGAAGACTACAGAGACAGAAGACAAAAACCAACCTGTCTAATCTGCGAATTTAAAACGCCATCAACTGGGAAATTGTACATTACTCAATTATCACAGGAAAATTGGTGTTGATTTGGAATGAAGTGAGGTTAGATCTTCGTACCTTGCAACATATACTGTCAAGTAACAATGTCAAGAGAAATCAATTAATTTAACTTCAATAATGTTTGTCTCATTTTAAAAAAGCACACTTAGCATGTCAGAATTGTTGAACGTTTTCATAGTTCATCATGAATGTTATACCACACTTATGAAACACACCTTTTTTTTCTCTCCTGTGTGAGTTCTCTGATATTAGAGTGAGGGTTGATTTATGCCAGGAAAGTTAGAACATTTCAGGGAAAGGTGGGGGGGACGGCAGTGAGTACACATGTGCACGTGTACACACACACACACACACACACTTCTCCTGCCTGAAAGGGTTTAATCATCTTTCTTCCATGACATGTAAGGCTAAAAAATTAAATCCAACATGTTTTTGTGACACTGGAAATGCACGGTTTTGGGAGTTACACGGGAAACCGTACTCGTCCGCTGAGATAAGGTTGCTATAGTTCCCCAGCATCACATCCGGTACAGGAGCCTCAGGGCAGGGTCCAGCTGCTGCCACTCCTCCTGGGTGAAGCGCACAACCAGCTCATTGAATGAAACCGATCTCTGAAAGAGCGTGTTTCATCTGAAGTAATTAGAATTTAGTGACATAACATATAGGGGAACATCAAATATAAGGAGTCTGCTGTCATGGCTAATGGAGCTATAAAGAGATACTTCGTGGGAGAGTAAAACATTGGAAATATCCTGTCATTGTGTTCACTTTTTAAAAAATTAGTTGTTAAAAATTTACTGAGCTTATACCATGTCCCTAGAACTATTCTAATTTCTCAGATGACTAACTCACATGCGATGCATGATCCTCAAGGAGTGTACATTCTGATAGGGTAGCATAAATAGAAATATAAATCTTTAGTAAAGAGCAATGATGGGCATATGTATAAGATAAAGGGTGAATCTCAAAAGGAGAAAGCTAGTTCCATTTTCTACTATCAGTCTTCTCTGAGGGGTAATACTTTTATTCCTGAAACATAAATAGCATGTTTATGGAGGGATGTGAGCATCAAGAAATATATGCAGGTGTAAAACACACACGGGAAGTTCGGAGCACTACAAATATGTTGGTGTGAAAGGATAATGAGGAGCTGGGTGGGGGCAGAGAAAAGAGGGACTTTTTCTATAACTAAGAGTCTTGAAATTTTTTGGATGGCGCAGCGCATCAGTAAAACACTCATGCACATACAACTAACACGTACTTTTACTTAGACCTTATTATGTATCTGAGTTACTTCAAGCTACATATTAGGATCAATAAAACTGAATTGTTTTCTCATTCTTTTAGCCAAAATACCAATGTGGCTAGAAGTCTAAGCGACCCTTGGGGTGCTCCCCTAACCTCCACTTTGGAGGCCACGCTTGTGAATAACGGAAATCCATAAAGAGCTATTTGTTAGCAAGAACTGGAGTTCTGTGCTCAAATTTGTATCTTAGAAGCAATGTTCTAGAGCATAAGCGTTGGCAAACTACAGCCTCTGGGCCCAATCCAGCCCACGGGGAGCCAAATGGTCAGATCCATTTGTTTACACGTTACCTATGACCGTTTTCATGCAATCACGGCTGTGTTGAGTAGATCTGACAAAGACCATGTGGCCAGCACAGCCAAAAGAAGTTATTATCTGGTCCTTAAACACTTGCTGTCTCATACTCTAGAAAAATGGAAAACGAGTGAAAGGTCAAATTAGAGGGGAAGAAAACTAGGACACCATTGTGTTACTCCTCTTATTTTTATTTTATTTTATTTTTTTTTTTAGCTGAGCCATCCTGCTACCTGTTGGCAGCTCAGCGGCTGCTCAGCTCGGGCTGGACTCGAACCGCTGTTGCTCAGAGCTCAAACTCTTGAGCGAGCTCTTAACCAACTGAGCCACTCGGCCGGCCCTTAGGACACCACTGTGAAACGTGACCACAGGTAGTTCAAGTGGGGGTGGGCAGGAGGGACTCAATGCTACATGATGAGCAAGAGGAACTGACCACTCATAGGTGGTGCAGTGGGAGATGGAACGTCCAGAATACACGTATTTTGTAAGATCACCTACGTACATGCCAGCAAGTGTCATGCTGAGATTAAGGGGGGAAAAAAGAATTGAGCACAGGAAGCTAATGCATTGCTGTTTAAGAGGTTGTGCTTGAAATGTCTGGGGAATATACAAGTAGAGATGATCAGCGGGCAGTTGGATATATAGTTCTGGAGCTCAGAGGACAAAGAAGACAGAGTAGTGATCAAAAGTAATATCTGAAGGCATAACTAATGAGGAAGATCTCATGAACTGATAGGGAGCGATTTTCAGGTTATACTGTTAAGTGGAAAAAGTCAAGTGCAAAAGAATATCTATAGTATGCTACCTTTTACATAAGAAAGAAGGGGATACAAGTAACTTCTCATGCGTACAAAAAGAGATATAGAAAGGATAAATCAGAAACCAATGAAATTGGTTACCTTCGGAGAATAGGTGGGACTAGGTAGAAAGAATGGGGGAACAGAAATGGGGTAGAAGGGATGGGGGGAAGTGACACTTCTCTACATGTATCTTTCTACACGGCTCTGATTCTTACAACTATGGTAATGTCACACGCCCCCAAAATAAGTAATTAAACTCAACCAGCATGTGGAAGGGGGACCACAAATTGAATACCAACAATAACAAATAAACCTAACTACAGTAAGTCCTTTCTTAATGTCACCAATAGGTTCTGGATTTAGGCCAAATGATACATAATGAAACCAATGTTACCACAGGCTAATTGATATAAACCAGAGTTAAGTTCTTATGGCATCTCATCAACGTTAAAACAAAACAACATTGACCAAAATGGTGTTATTCAAGGACCTGCCGTAGATTCAAATTAAATCACATACCTACAGCAAAAAGGATGAAGAACTAAAATAATTTTGAAGAAGAGTATTTTGATTACATTCTGTAAGGCTAAAGATAAGAACTGTACACAAAGATACTCTAGTTAAGGAACGTGTTTTTCTCATGGGGTGTGCAACAGCAATCTTAAACCACCTCCTGTGTATACTTGGATGAGCAAATAAGTAAATATAATGTAGATAATAAGAGCCAGGTTTATCCCTGTCAGACAAAGAAGTTACAAATACGGAAAAGGGAAAGCTAGAATGAGCCCTAGAATAATGGCCAGTAAAGTATCAGGGTCATGAGGTCATGACTTCATGAGGGTTAAAGAAACATTGTCCTATATTACAGGAGGCTAAGGAGACAACCACCAAATGCAATGTGGGACCCTAGGTTGGACCCCTGAACCGAAAGACTTTAGTGGGACAACTGGCAAAATCTGAGTAAGACACATAATAGTATTGTATTAATGTTAATTTCCTGTTTTTGATCACTGTACTGTGCTTTGCCTGGGTGTAAATGTCACAGGAAAACCACTGCATTTCTTTCACAGCTGCTTTTGGCAAGACTGGCCTCTGTGTCACTTGTTCAAAGATCATCTAAGAAAATGTTCACATACAAATGACAGGAAAAGCATACTCATAGCCAATGTAGGATCTATCTCATATTGTCTGGGCCTTTCTGACACAACTTGAATAAACCTATAGGAACATATGATTTCTGTATATTTATGTCAATGTTCCAGTGTTGATCTGATTCTGTTCTCTGATGCTTAATTTTACATATTTCTACTATTTCATCTGAATGTACAAACTACTGTTAAGTCACTCTGAAATCCACTATAGAATGTGGGAAGTAAATCTCTAAACAACTCACCTGGGATTTGTTCATTTTTGGATGTTCTTGAGAAAGAGCCAAGAATGGTGATCCCAGGGCTAGGTAAGGAAGAATGGGAAACAAAATCAATGAAAAAGTTGGCTAACACAGCAGCTCTTACAATTACCTACCAAAAAAGTGGCCCATTTAAGAAAATGGCCTTTTGACCAATCTGGTACTGGAAGGTAAAGAAACATGTTGAGGGAATATAACTTGTCCATTTACAATTCTGCAATGGTCACACAGAACTTTTCATACTGAGTAAATGTAAACAATTGTTTTCTACAGAAGTACTGTCAATGTTATGCCTTTGAAAAAATTTAAAACAACCTGAGTCCAATAGGAGATCAGGTGAACAAAATTTAGTATATACAAAGTTTGGAATACTATTCCAGCATTAATGTTGATTTTAGGATTAAAATATTTATTGGCATGGGAAAATGTTGATATTATGTCAGTTACCTATTTTCCTATATTTTAGCCACTGGAGATCAGATAATCCAGGAGCTCAGAAAAAAGGAATATCAGGCTTTAATATCTTTATCTTTTTGTTTGGTCTCCCTTACTTCAGGTTTCTCAAGAGGATCTTTTGCTAAGAAATGTGTTTTAACTTAAATAGAGGACATACCTTTAAAAAAAGGTAGAGGACATAGCCCTGACCTGGGAATCAAGAGATTCAATTCAGTTCTTGACTCTCTCCCTAGCAACCTTCATGGCTGGATCAGTTATTTACCTTCTAAGTCCTAATTTCAAAAGAAGGCAGAAGTAATAGTTCAAATAAACTTCTCTTTACCTCCATCATGTGATTCTCTTAGGGAGAAATTCAATGACTCCCAAGTGTAGTGATGGACATGGTTTGAGCAGCTCAGGATAAACAGAGAGATCGAGTGGAGATTGTAGGGAGTGACGTGTATATACTTAGGAGGTGATGAGAAATAATTTCCTTAGCTGTGTCTGGTACCCCTTCCCTACAACCCACACACTCACACATCCTCCAACAAAGGTCTTTTCTTGTCAAATCTTCACCCTGCCCATTCCCTTCAACTGCAGCTCACATATTTCTTTTGAAAGTTGAGCTAATACTGCTGAGCTTCAATAATCGATGGTCTCTGAGTATGGGGTTACCACCCAGACTTTGCTCATACTGGGGAGAAAAATTCTGGCCCAGGAACACTTGAATATGTTCCTTTCGGAGAGTCTGCTTCCATGCTGAAATTCTAGGGCGAGTTTTCAGTTCAGAAATATGTTCTTCCAGGTGATTCCTGTTCCTGGGGCCTTCTGCTTTTTACTTCTGGTTTTGTTTCAAGGTGGGCGTAAGGGGGTGCCATTTCCATTAGTTGGAACCTACAACTTGGGAGTCCCAAGGTTCAAATGCCTTTTCTAAAATCTAATCAGGGCTGCTTTAGAACAACACTACAGGAAGCAGAAGAAACTAGAAGACTGAATTATGCCTGGTGACCTAAGAAAATAGGTCAAATAGTTTGATTATCAAAATATATAGCTAATTGTTTCACTGTGCCAGAGAAAACCCAATGAGTGCAGGTAGAGGGGAATGTATATTATAAAGATCATGAGATTAGGCATAAAATAAACCTTGTTTTAAACCTGAAGTCACTCACCAGTGAGTAAATCACTTCCGCTCTCTGCAAATGAGGTTTTTAAATGTGCTCCATACATGGGTGATAATGCCAGCCTCACAGCCTGGTCCTGAGGTCTGAGTGAGATATCTAAAAATCTCTGTAACATAAATAGCAGGGGAAACTTATAGAGAGCACATTATATTGCTATCTCGTTCTACCTCAGAACCACTCTGTGAGGCAAATATTATTCCTATGCTTATTTGACAGATGAGGCAACAAGGTTACTCTAAGTAATATGCCCAGGGGTGCAGTGCCGTTCTGCAGCAGGACCTGACCTGAACCCAAACATCAAGCTCTTAAAATTTCATTCAATGCCGTGAACACCTCCCCCCGTCCCCCACCCTCAAATCCTTCACTGAACATTTTTTCCAGTCAAAGCTACAGCCTGGCCTTTCCCTTCAATGGCAGCTCACAGCTTCCGTCTCCTAAAAGACTTAGTATAAAGTAATTAACATAACGATAACATTTGATTCTCATAATAAATTTGTATTCCTTTCCTACTGCGCTCTAGTACTTTCCAACCCAGCCCGCAGGCGGCAGATCCAAGCGCATCTGTGGACCTTCCGGAATCCGATTTCAGCCATTTGGCTGCACACACCTGTCACCGTCACAGAGCACCTTCTTCAGGCAAAAAACGGCAGCACAGAGTGCCCGCCATGAGGCCTGCAGGTCAGGAGCCCAGCCCTGCCCTCGCTGCCTTTCTCAGGGGCCATCGGAAACCTGCCTCAGGTGCTCCCTGCAGCGGGGTGCGAGGAGAGGCCGTGTCCACCCCTCGCGGACCGAAGCCAGCTCCGCTCCGCCCCACCCTCCCTCCGACCCCCGAGGGCTCGAGCTCTCCGCCAGGCTTTTCTAGAACTTGTGGGTGCACCCGCTTCGCTTGGAGTTCGCACCTGGCCAGGTGACGCCGAAATGAGGAGTTCTAGAGACTGCAGTGCTCACCCCCGGAAAAGCCTGGAGAACCGGCAAGAGCCCCCAGGTAGAGAACCGAAGGGCACATGCGCAGAAAGGGCTACCGGACTCCCCAGGATTTTCCAAAGGGTGCTGGATGCCTTCCCAGGATACATTCCCCATAAGGCACCTCGGCGGCGCCCCTAGCTGAGGGGATCCTTTGAAGAGCTTTTGCTTTAATTATGGGGCTTGATTGATTGCTTTGAACCATTAATACAAAAAGAAAAGTTGCCTATTAATACCTAAGAGTATTTTCCTTTTAAAAAACCATGGATTCTGCTGAGATTTTATCCAGTGGGAGCTTTCTTTAAAAGAAACTTGAAGAGTAATGGTAGACTAAAATTTGCTTTTAAAAAATTATTTCTCAGTATGTGCTTTTTCAGCATACCAGTTACATTTACTTACGCAGATACTTTTATAAGCATGTTCACAGAAGCATGGTTTATAATAGAAAAAAAAGGAAACAACCTAAATGTGCATTGGTTAGGAATAACTAGATAAATCATGGTGCATGTACACAGTGAGATGCTGTGCAAGCACTAAGAATGAATAAGGTTATTTATGTGTTGCAATAAAAAATGCCCATGATATACTCCTAAATGAAATAAGACAAAAGGCAAACAAATATATGGAGCATAATTCTGGCATGATTAGCTAAAGATATGCACATTTAAATACATATGACTGTATAAATTTAGATAAAATTTAGAAAGATGTTCTCCAAAATGCAACAATGGTAATTCATGGGATATGAGATTGTTTAGGAGGAAGAGGGACTTCCACTTGTGCATCTATGTAATTTTTCTATGAACAAGTAAAATGAAAGAAGGATATAAAGGCATTCTTAGACTATTAATTGAATTTGAATTTCAAATAAGTGTGTGTGTGTGTGTAAAGAGAGAGAATACACACACAGATCTTTGTTGAGATAAGCACTGAAGAAAAGACTGAATACAAATATTAAATATTCATCACTTATAGATATAGGCTCATAGGTAAATTTTATTTTTGATGTTAAATATTTTCCTTTTAAAGTCTTTCCTTAGTGTTTCAATAACTTCTGTCTGTCCTCAAGTCATTTCCTTCTGCCATCTTGCCATCCACAGTTGTTTGCTAGGGCTGCGGTCAAAAGGTATCACAGACTGGGTAGATTAAATAGCAGAAATATATTTGCTCACAGTTCTGGAGCCTAGAAGTCTGAAATCAAGGTGTCAGCAGGGTTGGTTCTTTTTGAAGGCTGGCAAGGAGGCCTGTTCCAAGCCTTTCTCCTAGCTTCTCGTAGCCTCAGGCGTTCCTTGGCTTGTAGACGGGGTTCTCCCTGGTCTTCACAGCATCTTCCCTTTGTATGTGTCTGTCTCTATGTCCAAATTCTTCCACCCCTTTTGCTTGTAAGGACACAGTTGTAATAGATTATGGTCCTCCCAAGTGACTTCATCTTGATCGTCTTGCAAAGACCTTATTTCCAAATGAGGTCACATTAACAGGCACTGGGGGTTAAAACGTCAACATCTTTTAGGGGGACATAACACCAACCAATAATTTTCCTGTTAACTCCATTAGAATAAAATTAATTATGACCTCATATTTACTTTGATATGTGTATGGACGTCTCTCTTCAGAGTTAGTTGGACAGTATGACATAGTGGGTCTTGGAAGAGAAGAAATCCATGCAGTGAATCTCTGGCAGAGTTAGTGATCTCGGGCTGATTGCAGCATGCAGGTAGTGCTCCAATAAACATGTATTGAAAGAATGGTTTTCTAAAAAGGGAAAATACTGCAAGGATGAGGAGGAACAGGGAAAATGATAGAGAGAGGATGAAATCTGAGTTCTATAGCTTCCCAGGTCCCCAATTCCAGGGCTCAACCCTGGCCAGCACGGAGCTCAGAGACTGGTTCGCAGAAATGATGAATTAATCAGGATAGTCTAAAGGGAGGGAGATGGAGGAAGGGAGAGGCGGGGGAGAGAGAAGGGAGAGGAGGAGAGAAGAGAGAAGACAAGATAGGATGGAGGAAGGGAGGCTAGGGAAGAGGAAGAAAACGTAAAAAGGCAGACCAGCAAGCAGATATTGGACAATGCAGTTTCCACAGTGGCCAATAGGTGACAGTGTTAGCGCGGGGCAGCCACGGTTGACGACCAGGATGAACTTTGTTGCCCAGGGAGAAGGCTCCTGCCACTGTTGATCTGGGTCAGCTCATCTGTGGTGGGCATCTGTTGTTGGTTTTTTCTTTGTTGTTTGTTTTGGTTTGGTTCTCCTGACATCCATACTGTCTTTTTCTGATAACAAGCACTTCAATTTTCCTTTGGGGGAACTACCCCAAACTTTGGGGGAACTATCCCATTAAGCTCTGCCTTATATACCCACATAGGCTGTACACTGCACAACTCCAGAGAACCTGCCCATTTAGACTGGTGCCCACTGGAATTGAGCAGTGCCCAGCCTATACAACTGTCAGTGTGAGCCATTGAATGATGGCCCAACAAGTTGCCCATCCTACTCCTGGCCTAAGTAGAGCTGATTCATTCTGACATGGATACTGTGAAACAGCTGCCCATTAGTTCCTGCTATGTGGAAATTGTTATGCCCCTGGAACCCAGGGGGGACTATAGCCATGGGAGAGGGGCCACTGGCCAGACAGGAGCTGTGGCTGTAGGTAATGGAATGTGACTTCGGCCCAATATCGGCCCAGAGGGCTGCAGGAACAAATATCCCGACATCTCTCTCCCCTCCCACTTTGGATGACCTGCCAGTACCTCCCACTGACTAAATCCAACCGTCATTGGGCAAGGGAGCCAGTGTGTTACAACTCGCAGACTCACAGAGATCGGACCCCTGCAAAAGAGAGCAGGTGAGAGAACGACCTGGAGGGGAAGACAAGGAGTACCAGGCCCACAGTACCTGGGGTTGTGATTTATTATAACTTTGATGGGGATAGAGTTGCCAGATAAAGCCCAGGTTAACCTGGACTTTGACTTTCAAATAAACAACAAATACGGGCCCAGTCTAAGTATGTTTAACATAAGTACAGTATGTCCCAAGGACACGAAACCCATATTTATTGTTTACCTGAAATTCAAATAGAACCAGGTGTCCTGTATTTTCATTTGCTAAACCTGGCAATCCTAGATGGGAAGCCCCTAAAGCAGCGGTTCTCAACCGTTCACAGGGGTCGCCGGGTACTCGTCTGTGGGCGTATCTGCATGTGGGCCTGGAGACGGATAGAGGAGCGGTGTCTCGGTTCCTAAGACCATCGAAAATATGTGTTTTCCGATGGTCTTAGGTGACCCCTGTGAAAGGTTGAGAACCGCTGTGCCTAAAGGAATTTGAAGCAAAGGAGTAACATGGTCTAATTTAGGATTTAATAAATACATTTATTTATAAAAATCAATACAATTTTAGATTACTATCAATAAGTTCAGAGGGTTCAAGGGCATACAAGTAAGTTCCAGGAGCACTTACACACATGCATGATGTGAAGACTTCACCGACTCGGTAAAGCAGTTGATGCAGGTGAGAGCCTTGACCGACTCCCGCCTGGCTTGGAGGAACCGTGAGCAGATAGTGCATCATGCAATCATGGATCTCCGCAATTCCCTGTCTTCATCTTGCATAGTCCTTTCCTGTTTATGGAGGCCTTTCATGCCCAATATCTCATTCCGTCCTTACCACATTCCCGTGTGGAAAGTAGCTCACATCATTGTTATTACACAGTTATTATGCAGTTGTAGAAACTGAGGCTCAGAGAGGTGTAGTGACCTACCCAAGGTCACACAGGGAGGCAGCAGAAGGGCCAAGGTTACAACTCAGGTCTGTGCAACTCCAAAGAGCTTTCCCCTCTTCTCCAGGGCTCCTGGTTGTCCTAAGTGTGCAGTAGGCAGTAGGTCTGTCTATCTATGCTGGGTGCTTGCTGGTAGGCCCGGATGTCAGGAGGAAGGAGTCCCCAGAGGCAGCCGCTACCCTCGGTGCCTGTCGTATCTTCGCTGGAGCCGAGCATGAAGGTGGTGGACCCGCCTTGCCTCCTGGGCCGTGAAGAAGGAAGCTGCGATGCTGTGCCGCAGGCGGCGGGCGTAGGTCTCCAGGAGGACCGTGGAACAAGCCACGAGCTGCAGAACCCCTGCAGCCAGAGGGGCAGCCAAGTGGGGGTGTTGGGCGGGCAGCAGTGGGCAGCTTGGGGAGGTGAAATGGAGCTCCCACTGGAAGGAGTCGTGAGTTGAGAGGAAGGGGTTCTCCAGAGGCGGCTGATTGAAGAGGAAGGGGATGAAGCCCAGGATGGTGTATGCAGCCTTCATAAAGGAGAAAAAGGCCACGTCAACAGACACTCCAGCCACTCCCCGTCCCTCACCGCTAACGGACACTGGCAGGGCTGGAGGGGAACCGCCTGCCCTCATCCACAAAACGGCCACAGAAATAACCCTTGCCTTCTGGGGTTTCAGGAGAATCACATGAGATCAGGAGTCTGAAACAGGCTTTTTGACAAACAAAAAGCACCGTACAAGGGCTATGTTTTTACTATTACTCCCTTTGAAGAGTCATAGTTTATATAACTCTTCAAACAATTTACTCTTCAAAGAGTAATTTTATTATTACTCTAACTTAGAGAAAACAAATTAATGTTTACGGGACATTTACTCTTTGTTGAGCCCTTGATGAATACTTTAATGTCTTTTCCATCAAATAAGCACCAGCCTATGAGGTTGAGCCCAGCATAAGCCTTGTTTGAAAGATGCGGAACCTGGGTGGCCGGTTAGCTCAGTTGGTTAGAGCGCAGTGCTCATAACTCCAAGGTTGCCGTTTCAATCCCCACGTGAGCTGCAACCTCCACAACTAGATTGAAACAACTACTTGACTTGGAGCTGATGGGTCCTGGAAAAACACACTGTTCCCCAATAATAATAATAAAAAAAGATGCAGAACCTAAGGTCATGCAGTGGGTTACATGTGGCTGACCCAGGGATGGTTTCGAGCCAGGGTGGCTCTCAATATCCTTCTCAGGCTCTCCATGGGGTATGATGGAGCGAGGAAGAATGGTGTCTAGAAAGGTAGGGAGGCCAGAAGTTAACCCTTTGAACTTGGGAGTCAGACTTCTTGGATTGGAGCCTGGTTCTGCCCAGGAGCCAACTTCTCCCTTAGGCACAGTCCTGGGCACCACAATACTTCTAGGGGGCCTACGAAAATATTTTATTTTCTTTTAAAATCAGAATTTGAAAATGAACTTTTAAGTTGGAGAATATGTTTCACCACATGATATTAATACATTTGTGTTTATACCAATGTCGTCATTAATATTTCCTTTTATGGAGCAAGGAGTCCATGAACGTGAACATGCCTAGGACCCCCAAAAGTCACAGTGCAGTCTTGGTTCTGTCACTTACGGGTTGGATGAATTTGGGCAAGTTCCCTAACTTCTCTGAGCCTTGGTGTTTTCATTAGTAAACTGGCAATGGCTGTGACTCCTTTCTGACAGGACCACAGTGACAATTAAATGAGTTAT